CGAGAAATTTTTGATTTTTGGCTCATCTATGGATATTTTTTTAAAAGAAGCCTGATATTCTTTACCAGACGAGTGAAGCGAAAATCCCCAGAATTTACCGAATGTTTTTTGTCGTTTGCAGGATCAGCGTCGGTTGATGTTGAAGGTTTTACAAGTGCTCTGATGTTGTGCACGATTTTCTCCTTTTGCCGACGTTCCATTTCGATCCTCCTCTGCAACTCCTCGATGCGCGTATCAATATCGGCCACTGATTTCGCAACTTCATTAAGGCTCATCTCGGAGAATTTGCTAGGCTGTAAAAGAAGATTGAACATTTTAGCTGTTAGAAAAAAATCAAATCATAACCGCTCTTCCCTCCCCCCTCGTCGCTTTTTCCCTCAGAAGAAGCGGAAACACTTAGAAGCAACCTGAAGGGAAGCACCTGCCAAAAGCAACCACACGCTGGCAAAACTGTCGATTGTTTGCTCTTTTGAAGATTGTTTAGAAGCAGGCTATCATATAAAACTTCAAAATCTGTATCTATGAGTATTACGAAAGGGCTTAAATTTTCAAATAAAATTATGTAAATCACAAACACTTTTTTAGCTGTCAGTTTTGCTAAAATTTTTACTCAAATTCTAGCGATACCCGTACAAATAGCCTTAAGCGAAGTACTCATAAACTTTCATGTGAGCTTTCGCTACCTGGAATCCGCTGTCGGGGAGGGTCCGGCTTGATTTTACAAAAGACTTATCAGTGATTTTATTAGTTTTTCTGTTTTATTTGTTTTAGAGTATCTGTTAATTGATGCGCCAAAACCGCCCGCATATTCCGCGTAGGGTTCGGTATCAACAAGAAAATTAAGCAACATATATATAGTTTCCCAGTAGTATTACTAACGTTGAAACCATATATCCATTAACAAACTCGCACACGCACACGTCAAAGTTTAAACTGGCATCGTGCCAACTCCAGATTTAAGTGGATCAAGAAATTTTAGACAGCTGTGTTGCCGTAAAAATCCTGACATTAGTCGGTTGTCGTAACAACCTTAGTACATGACTCAAGAAAAGACGGTCACGCATAGCTGCGTCCAGCGTGTCGAACCATTTCAGCAACACTACCATTAACACGGGATTTCCATATAGACTAAGTGTGCAACATTATTTTTTTGGCTATTTTCATAAACATTCTTACTTCGGGCACAAAGGAGTTCGCCGATGGTGCAGCTGAAGAAATTTTTGGCTTAGTATCATTTGCTGGATCCAATATGTCTTCGACACACAGTTCCACTGGCATACTTGGCTTGATAATGTCCGGTGATGGGGTTCGTTTTCGCATCGGTTTTGAAATAATTTTTGTCGGAACATAAGTAGCTAAAAAATCCAAAAAAAGGTGCTAACAATATTTCACTAAAATTTCTACAGTACCGTTCGAAAAAGAAATAATTATACTGGGCTAAATTGGCGGGTACAAGTAAAGATGAAACGAGAACACTAATTCCTTCTATTTTAAACCTTAGCTTTTCCAAATGTGTACAAATGTACCTCAGGTTTGCTTTAATTTACTTTGCTTTTTAGTGTTGCAATTCCTCTATCGTCACTTCAGCTGCTCCACAAGTATGCAGCTGTATCTCCTTAAATTTTACTTCTCCTTGTACCTTTTCCCCTCAGGATAATAATCAATACTGATGC